ACATACATACATACATACATACATACATACATACATACATACATACAAGCATACATGCATACATGCATACAAGCATACATGCATACATACATACATGCATACATGCATATATGCATACATGCATACATACATACATACATACATTTACCATTAAATTGGATCGGACAGGGTTCATAATTGGTAAAAGAAGAAAAAAAGAGATTTTAAATTTCAAGCAGAAGTGTGTGCTGAAGTATTTTTTTGTGTAAAAAGATCTATATATACAGTATACCACAGGATAAATAAAAAATAAAGTTTACCTATAACTACTGTCTTATGTGGATTTTTTTTCATCTTCTTCTTTCAGCTTTTCCCTCTTCAGGGGTCTCCACCGCGAGTCATCTTCCTCATCTTACTCTGTCCTCTGCATCCTCTGTCCTCACTCCATCTACCTCCATGTCCTCTCTAACTGAATCCATATGTCTTCTCTTTGTCTTTTTCCTGGCAGCTGCATTTCTAACATCTTTCTACCAGTATACCCACTGTCCCTCCTCTGGACATGTCCAAACCAACTGGCCTCTCTACCTGTGCTGTACCTATGATGATCTCTGTTAAACTTATCTCTCCCTTTTATTTATACCTTCATTCCTCACATCATTTCCCCTCATTCCCTCTATTTCTCACTTCTTTCCTCACTTCCTCTCTCCCTCATTCCTTTCCTTTCTTCTCCCTCCTTCCTTCATTCCCTTCCTCTCTCACTCCTTCATTCCCTCCATCACTCACTCCCTCCTTCCTTCCTTTCCTCCCTCACTCCCTCACTCACTTGCTCCCTTATTTCACTCTCTCACTCACTCACTCACTCACTCACTCACTCACTCACTCACTCCCTTTCTTCCTTCCTCTCTCCCAGAGTTCGTTCATTGCTGACTCTCTCCTCCCTCTTTCCTTCCATCCTCCCTTACTCCTTTATTCCCTTCCTTCCTTCCTTCCTTCCTTTCTTCCATCCATCCATCATTTCTTCTCCCTCCCTTGCTTCCTCCATCCATACATTCATTCCTCATCATCCCATCTCCTCCTTTCTTCCTTCCTTCCTTCCTTTCTCATTGCCTCCTTTCTTATGGATTAACAATTTGGTCAACACTAGTCAGGCCTGTGTTATTCCAAAAACAAGTGTTTGATTACCCATAATTCCTCACAGGAAGCACCCAGGAACAGCAAACTTCAAATTAGTTGTAGCTGACACCCTGCTAAGGGTAACCATGAGCTTGGGCTTCAAAGGTGGTTCCTAAGGTGGTCAAAAGGCACTCCAAATGTCAAAAGGTCGCCAGTCAGGCCTATGTTTTTACAAAAACAAATGTTTGAGCAGCCATAACTCTGGACAGAAAGCACCCAGGAACATAAAACTTTAACGTTTTGTAGCTGGCATCATACTAATAGTACCCTGTGAGCTTGGGCTTCATATGTATTTTCTAAGGTTCTAAAAGGTACTCCAAATATCAAAATGTCACTGGTCAGGCCTGTGTCACTCCAAAAACAAGTGTTTTGGGGGTATAAGATGTCAGCAGAGGAGTGAGACAGGTGTGGCGCCGGCTCTCGCGGATACTGCTTAGAGAAGTGCCTTTCGAAAATATATTCTCACTGCTTTTGCGCTGGATGCTCCAATTTTCAACATTATTTTGTGATTGACTTGGCAAAGCTGAAGAATGGCAATAGACTTGAGGAATTATAAGCATACAGGATCTGTGGCTGCTAGGCTCGACACCTCCTCGAGGCCCAGTATTTCTAAAGCTGGGGACTCACCTCCGCCCTCACCAGGTCTCAGAGAGATGGACGTGTCAGCCCATTCAGTTCTGAGTTACGTACTTTAAACAGGCATCTAGAAAGCTGGAAAGAAAATGGTGCTCCACTAACATGAAATAATTTTATTTAACTTGACAAGATAGTCTACTAACATATAAGAAAGCTCCCCATAAAGCTAGAACTGTATATTCTTCTTCTTTAATAGATGATGTAGTATGACATATGTAGAGATATATTCATACATTAAATGGGTTCTTCATTTTTCTGGACTGTGTAACATGCGTGCGTTGAATGTAATAAAAATGTCTCTCCATATGTCATACTACA